AAAAAAAAAAAAAAAAAAAAAAAAAGAGGCAAAAAAGAAACCCAAGTCCCAGAAAGCTTGCTGAGATACATTTCTGTTCCTATATTCCAGGAAAGTCTTGACAGAAATGAAGGCTTCTTGCAGCTCTGATGATCTCAACTCAGCAGTCACTGAGGCCACAAGCTGTGGGCACAGGAACTCCCTCCACTGCATGGCAGAAGAAAATGAGCTAACACAGAAACTAACTCCATGTGGAGGCTGCCAAAGGGATCCAGCCTGGAACAGGTTGGTCTTTTTTACAATTTGAAATGCTTTTCTCTGCTCTGATCTCTTCCAAAAATCTCCCCTGAGTTGAGAGGGCATGGCTTGACAGTGGCTTTATTTAGTAGGTTCTAGTGCTGCACACAAGTTTATAAACTCTGCTGTACTCTTAGTCCAAATTGTATGCACCCATAAGCTCTGAGAACCTGAAAAATATGCCAGTGGCATTTAAGCAACCTCCTCTGTGCAAATCTTAGCAGGAAAATTCATCCTGATCCTCAGGGGCATCACTGGCCTGTACAAACTCCCTCTGAGACCAAGCCTCACCTTTGATGGCTTCTGTCCATGCACCAGCCACTGCCAGACCAAAAGATGGGCACGTGCCTAGAACCACCTCATTTTATGCAAAAATCCTCCCCTTTCTAAAATTTAAATCCATATCATTGTGCTCAAGAACATACCTCCTTTAGAGAGGAGCTGTGTCAACCAGAAGTATATATTGGCCTTCAAAATGCTCCCCTGTTCTCATGGAGACTGGATTTTACATTTACTCTACTCAGATCCTTTCTTTTCTTCTCTGCTAAAAGGATGCAGAAAGATCCAATGGTGGTAACAGTGGAGGGACAGGAGATGCAACCTGGGAACAGCAGTTTCCAAAGCAGAGGATAGAGGTCTGAAGACCCAGCACTTCATTCTCCCTTTGTGCTGGTCAGAATATCTTGGAAATTATTTATTTGCACACAGAAAAATCACCTTGTTATTTCTGTACTGAAAATTAGGCTGATACATGTAGCTCTAGATCATCAGACACACACAAAAATTGAAAAGCTCACCAAAATTCATAGTTCACAAGACATTCAAAGACTTTTTTGGTGCTGTTGCAGCAGTTTCCTTTCCCTTTTTTCCCTGCTGAACAAAATCAATGCCCTTTTTTAATGTGAAAATACAGTCAGAGAACCAACTTTTCACTGCTTCGCTCTCCACAGTGCTACTCCAAATCTGAGATGCTTCCATCTTATTATCTGAATCCTTCCAATGAAACACAGAGCAAAATGGCTGGTTTAATCTATTCTTCTTAATTATTATACTGTATTTTAGACTATGTCTATCACCCTCCCCAACCATTACATTGTAAAGACATTTTAGTAGTAAAAAGAAACCCAAGGGGGAACCATCTCTCATAGCAAAAAAAA